TGTCTGACTCACCTCAGTCTGCTGGGTATAAATGCTCCTCTCCTCTCCTTTCCTCTCCTCTCCTCTCCTCTCCTCTCCTCTCCTCCTTTTTATTGATTCCTTTAACACACAACACAGAAACTTTACATTTTCTTTTGCCCCAAAGTTAAGCAAGATAGTACTCCGCTTTTCACTGATGATGCCTACTGGAGCTGAAGATTCTTTCCTCGTTTGGGCTATGTGTCTGAAATTGTGCAGAAAGTGGACTTATACTCTAGCAACACTCTGAAATGGTCTTTTGTCATAGAGAAGAAAGTCAGGATCTGTTGCTTGACAACAATGGGCATGCAAAACTCTTCTCACTAATTATTTCTAAAAATTAAATTAAAAAAAATAATTAAAAAAAATATATTTCTGAATAGGCACCTGTATGGGTGATGTTGTGTTTCTCCTGGGACTGTGAGAACGACTCTGAAAACTGACAAGAACGATGCTCTTTTCTTTTGATGATTTAATATTTTCTTATTGAATTAAAGCTAATGGCTTATTTCCCAAGACAATGAAAGTATTATCTCTACTGTGGGAAATAAGCTGAGTGCGAGCCAAGTACATGATGTGTATCTGCAACTTTATCTGCAAGCCCTGCCTAAGTGTTTGGGTTCGTGTCTGGACTCGCAGAACTGTTTTGTTGTGTTTGACCAGCTTTCTGCATGTCTTTGTTTGTCCCCTGATTCAACTAGCAGGGTTGGGAGACGTAGCAGGAATGCTTCAGGAATTAGTGATACAGCTTATTGGGGTTTCTTGCTCCCTTGCTCCTGAACCTGCTGTTTTCTCTGTGTGCCATTTAGTGTTTGAGCATACTAAAACAACCTTACACGTATTATGTTGTGCATTTGACATATTGCTGTACTTTTGAACCAGAAGCTGTCACTATGCCTTCACATGAACTGCCACCAGACACACAACAATGTGCACTCCTTTCTTTTTATCATCCTGCTTATAATTTGCATCATGTCTGTCAATCGATAGCAGGTAATTGATCCCGGAAACATGCTCTGATCAAATCGGTTCTTGCACTTTTGGAACTGGCTCCTCTAGTTTCTCATCCTTACCTGCACCCACCGCCGCCCTGTCCCCACCCTCCTCCCATCCCACCCTCCACAATCCCCTTCTTTCCTGACACCAAAGAGCCTCGCTTTTGGCAAAACATCTTTCCCTCTTCCTCCCCCTCCTATCCTTCCCTCGATCATCCGTATCCCCACACTTTTCCTGCATACCATTTCTTCAGTTTGCTGTTGTTCAGGTTTTTTTTTTTTTTTTTACGAGGAAGCTCTAATTTGTATCTCTACAGATATGAGCATGTAGGAGTGTGTGCAGATAAGGGGCACCCTCCCAGAGGATCAATGCATTATTCTCTGTGTGATGTAGCGTAGTGATATGGTAGAAGGGCTTGTCAGGGATGTGACGGGTCTTTGTTACCTGACTCTTTCCTCTTTGCTGCTCTTCTCCCTCCTGCTTCCTTCCCTCTCTGCTCTCTCTCCTCTTCCCCGCCTCCCGACAACAAGTCTGCTTCTTTTAAGAGTTGTTTGCTCTTGACTGAGAAGTCAAAATCAGAGCTGTCGCTCCACTGGAGCACACGACTTGTAAAAAATCTACAGCCGTGCTACAGCTGAGACCGCACACAGTCTCTCTATCTTTTTTCTTTAACTCTCTAACTCTCTCACATCTCCCTCCCTTTTCCGCATTCACTTTTCACTCATTCTCTTCCTGACCTTTTCTTTATCTCTTCCCTAAAGGGTTCTTCTAAAATGTGTAAAAAGCCAAATTCAGTTCACATATTTATAGTTGGATCTGATGAATACTTGCTGCTGCGATTGAAAGCCTTGAGAAGCACAGTTTTAGCAGCCAGTCAAAGCACTAAGTGTGCCATGAGTAGTGGGTTTGACACAAAGGTAGCTTCAAATGGCAAACACTTGAAGCAAGTGGTGAACCCTTGCGCGTGTGCTCAGGAATGTACATGTTTTATCTGGTCTGTTCGTGGAGATGTCTATATACAAAACACTCGGCCTGTATCTCCACCATTGCATTTTTTTTTATTCCTTGCCACATGACACAGGTGATGATAAATACTGATTTGCAGCCTTATAAGAGTCTTAGGTGATAGGTGCACAAACAAAGAACCAATAATGTAAATTTCAAAAAGGGAACAAACACCTGCTCACTGTCTTCACTTGCAATCAACTTTTATTGCAAAGTTTTAGCTGTAAAGCCATATGTGGGAGTTAATTTCTTTTTGTGGCTTGAAACAGCAATCACAGGGTTCTGGAGTGATGAAATAGATTAAAACGATATTGCAGTAATGATCTGCGATCCCAAAAATAAAAAGTTTAATCTTCTGCAGCCACTGAAAAAAAAGGCGATTAATCATTTACTCTATAAATTGCCAGAAAATTGTGACAAATGGTCATCACAGAATTACTGGTAAACCAAGGTGATGTCTCATATGAAAGGCAGAGGAGCTAGGCATCCACCAGCTAATGTTGGAGTTTATTTAATGTAATAAAACTGTTGAATTGCTTAGGTTAAAAATGTGTTTTCACATTTATACGCGTATACTAGAATTCTATCAGCATTGCAGTCAATTTAGCGCTGTTATGTCTGAGATTGTTGTTGTTGAAAATGGAGGAATATCTGTGCCTAGCCTTGAATGTGTTGCAGACCACAGTGAGGTAATTCCAGATGGATTGTGCTAAGGCCAGCCTCAGCCTGAGGAGATGACCACAGCCTGTTTACTCCCAGGTGCACTCACACTCTCCACTCCACAAGAAATTGTGTATTTTTCATCAAGATCATAGCAATTCTCCCTACCCCTACCCTGGCTCTCTTATCGCCAAACATACATTAGAATGTCAGACACATCTTCCCCCTCCTGATCCATATCTGCACAGCCTCTCCCTCTCTGTGTCTCTCGTCTCCAAACCACTCCAGCAAATGTTACCGTTTCATATCTGGGCTGAGAAAATAAGCTTTCTTTCCCCACTGCACGTGAGGATCTGCAGACACGATAACCTTCGCAGCTGAACTGCAAATGTCACTTCAGCTAGCCAGCCAATCGCGTTTCTTTTCATTGGCCAGTGCGGCTCTGTTATGGGGTTCACACCGATGACACTGGGACTGAGCAGATGTGCACACATGAATGAGAATGAGTCAGCAGGGCTCTCAGGTGTGGCCAGGAGTGGCCGACTGAAATGCCACAAAATACCAGGAAACTATATCAGATGAAACTGTGCTTTTTATCAGAACAATTACTGGAGTGGCAACAATGGCTTGGTTTTTGCAGTGTTTTTCTCTTTAACTTCCAAAGTGTGAAAGCTAATTAGTACAACAGGCTGATGCGGATGATGTCTCACATGGTCCATTGTAGCAATAGGCAACACTATGGCTCATCAAGCTGCAGTTTAAATGAGAGCAATGTGCACTTTCCAATGCCTGGGGAGTGGGGATGCTCTGCAGCATATTACTGTACCTGAGGGGACCCACTGGTGCTGTCGTTGCTGCCTTGAAGGGATGCTAACATTAACCAAACGTGAATTGTGACTTGCAAGGCTGCTGGTTGCTGTACTAGTTTTAAGCAGCAGCCATTACGAGGTTGATGTACAGTATGTTGTCAAAGCTTTCAGTAGAATAGGTAATCAGGCGTTTTGTTCCACATAGGCTCGCTCACTCAAATTTCCTTCAGTGTACATTCTGCTTCCATGGCCATCACTTCATATTGCTCACGCACAGAGAAATGAAAGGGCATATCTGAGCAGCATCTGGATTTACATGCTAGGTGATGTGTTCTTCACACACACATAGATAGGAGATGGGGAGGTAGTTATACTTATCATTAATATTTCAATACCCCGGTGCATTTATTGGTCTGCGCCCCAGCCCTCAAGGTTTATCTGTGTGATGGCATATTTTAGGGACTGGGACCATCAATATTCGTGACCAGAGAGTATTTATTATGCAGTTTATTATGAGTGTTCTTGGCTGCTGTGGGTTCTCCATGAACTCCACCACCTCCCCACGTTTGCTACACTTTATTTGCATAACCATTAGCCATAGTTGTGCAGATGCCAATCTGCTTTAAGCTAATATTGGCCGATGTGTTGGCCTGGCCATTTTATTAAATCAACACTGCAGATGAGACATATTTGTTCTATCCTTTGTAGATTGCAAAGAAAAGGGATTTCTATCATAGAATAGTAAATACAGACTTAAAAGTTAAGAAAATAAAGGCATGCTTTACACTTCATGGATTCCATGAGTTTAAATCCCACTGATCTGTTGCTGAAAGCAGGTTTAAAACAGACACTCAAGAATCTTTAATTATTGCAAGACAGCTTCTTACTTCTGTTTCACCTTATCTGTATCTCAAAATACCCTGAAGTGGTCGGCTCTTGTTTCCTTTCCTGAATATCCGTGTATCAAACCAATTTTACTCACTAAAAAATCCATTTTTGAACGCTAGACCTGCTAGACACACTTGTTGTTTGTCAGATTTGTGACCTGTGACCTTTCAGTGCAAGGCCGGTGTCTCAATCCAACAGGCCACCTTTACCCCCCGGCAGCTCTTTGCCGGTGGGCTTGTCTTTTCTCTGATGTCAGGAGACGAGGCTCCTCTGTGGCTCTCCTTATCTGGATCAGAGAGGCAGCCCATCAGCCTCAGGAGCAGCAATCAGCCTGCTCACCTTCTGGTGCTGAATAATCACACATACACCAGGAGGGGATGAAATGGAGAGCCTGCCAATCATCAACCAGGAAATTAAATATTTGCAAAAATTGCCATTGCATTGATAGTGGATATTAAACAGACTGGTGGAACATGTTTCTGAGGGCAGATATTCTTCTTGTGTAATCACACTGTTACAACGCTGTTATGTTAGCTCTTTACTGTCACTGGAATTGTCTATGCAAGGTTCAATATGAGCATTCATTTATGGCTTTTTTGTCTTCTCTCTTTCCCTCCTTTGTAGTTCCTGTGTTTGAAGAACATCCGGACATTTCTCAAGGTGTGCCACGACAAGTTCGGCCTGCGCAACAGCGAGCTGTTTGACCCTTTCGACCTCTTTGATGTCAGAGACTTCGGCAAGGTGAGTTAAACATTAAACTTAAGGATGGATGCTCTACTTTTCAGTCTCCAAAACGCTCTGCACTTGAACTGACACTGTCAGGATCAAAAATGGTGCTGCCCATGGGCTATATTCTAACTACAGCAGGCGCTTAGAGACATGACGCTGCTTGTGTAACTGATAATATCATTTACAGCAGGAGCTATGTCCTTGTGTTGTCAGATGAAAACCTAAGATGTGGTGTATGGTATTTTTTATGATTATATCTTTTTAGATTGGCTGATATACTGTAGTTCCATGACTCTTTTGGCAGTGAAATACATGATTATCAAATAACATCTTTTCTTTTTTTAAATTTACACAAGATGTGAGGCTTTCAGCTATGTGTGCTCATCCATTTGGCCTGCATTGTATGAGAAGTGTGTGTGGCGAAAGAGTGCAGGCATGTGTGAGTGTGAAGTTGTCTGTGCATCTGCAGAATCACATAGTATGCCCATGTGACTTGCTTGGGTTTAAAGGTAGTTCAAAGTCAAATCCGTCAGTTACATTAACCTCAATATGGCACGGAGAGCTCAGAATGAGCATTTGGTCTAACACTTCAGGGTCAGCAGTCTCATCTCATGTCACTGAGTGACTAGAGTTGAACTCCACTCTGTTTTCCAACAGTCTCCTGTTGGAATACTTTGTGTGTGTGTAATGGCTCAGCAGTAAAGGTGGCTGACTCACTCGCACATCATATTAGCTTTATAGAGAGTTTTTATGGGATATTCAAGTGGATTTTTGTGTTTATTAAATTGGTAGTCATAAGGCCACTGCCCACATGGTCCTTTTATCCCTTTATCCTGGTGGGGAGGTTAGGGACATGGAGTCTGAGTGGGCGCACTTTGAGCACAGACATCCTGAAGGAGATCAGAGTGGAACTGCTGTTCTTATGGATTGAAAGGTGGTTCAGCATCTGATCAGAATGCCTTGTGGATGGAAAGGACGTCCTTTGGAGATGTGTGGCATGTTTCCACCCATGTGTCCACCCATGTGTCCAACACAGACCCAGGAAACTCCCAAGTGGCTTGGGAATATCTGGAGCTGGAGGTTGTGGCTTTAGATGAGCACATCTGGGTGCTTTGCTCAACCTGCTGCCTCTGTGACCCAGACCTGGATAACTGGTGGGAAATGGATGGATGGATGGATGGTTGTATGGAATTGTAGGTCTTTGGTTTCATTTGAAATTTGCCATTGTAGATGTCAGATATGATATTAAGTAGGCATAAGTAGTAAATAAACAAATTACTGGCAAAACTATAGCAAAACACAGGGAAAGAGGTCACCGGATTATGACATATTTTCTTTTCATGCGACCGAACATGAAAGGAGAAAGCAAATGGGTGATAGAGGAGGGGGGTAGGGATTGACCTGTAATCCTTGACCAGCATACCCTGTCAGGCTCAGTTTCTGAAAGTGAATTGTTTATCTCTACTTTCTAATCTGTTTTGACTGCAGTGCGTGTTAGTGCGTGGCTACGGACACAAGAGTGGGGGCAGGGATTAGCTTCATTCTAGGCTAGTAGGCAGTTAAAACAAACAGTAGGGATATTATGAAGTCATGAAATTGATGATGACAGCTGATGCCACTGTGTCAGGGCTGGTGCAGTGGGAATGTTAATACTGTACCTTTCAGCTGATTGAAGGAACATACAGAATTTGAACTCCAGCTGTGGGGTGGGATACGAATCAACTGCATTACATCTCCCTGTGATCGATTACAAAGAGGATTGCGGAAAGTCGGCTGGTCATTTATCTAACATACAGTATATCTAATTCTTTCAACATATCCAGTCTCTCTGCTTTGGGCTGAGAAGAGAGGCTGAAGAAAGACGGAGAAGGAAAAGATGAAAGAGAAGGAAAAGGAGACAAGGACTCATTTGGCAGTTTGCAGATAAACCACAAGACGATGTCTGAGAGTCAATGAGCTCGCAGTGAACGGTATTAAAATCCAACAGCAGTCAGAATCAATCACATAGGCCCTCCATATGTCAATTTGGAAATTGCTTTTGTATGGTCTCAGCGGTGGCGGGCTTGTCTCATCATTGATTTTCCATTAAGGCCAAACATCACATTATAATATATTGAATTGAGCAGATCCCTACTAATGTGGCATACATTTAAATAGTGAGAATGCCTCATAAATGGAAGATAAAAAGGAGCTGTTTTATTTCTGAGTCTCTTTTTTTTTTATAGCTCATCACTGAATGTGCTTTTTGCTCTTTTGTTACCTTGACACAAAAGTTTCTTTGTGTGCATTTCCGATAGGAAAGAAAAGGAATTCTAACTTCAATTGTATATATCATAGTACAGTATCATTCATCTCTTCTCTCCATATCATTCTTTTAACACTCCTTTGTTCCAAATATATTTGTGAAGTGAACCAGCTTTGGCATTTGTGCACATTTTGATGCAATGAGGTGCCCTTTCAGAGCGAGAGCTATCTAAAAACCCTCATAGTACATACAGATCAGCATTTTGTTTCTAAGAAAAATGGCTAAAACAGATCTATTGATAGAACTTTTCATCTACATGTTTGTCTCAATATCTGGTTGGATATTCTATTGAATTACATTAGAATATTTCAGTTAAGTTTCCTGAGTCTTAAGCTTGACCATTTATATTGTGGAGAGTGTTGCAGTCATACCGTAGACGACAGTCACACTGGATGCCACTTGTATCATCCATCCCTCCAAAGACACATCATCTGACAGTTTTTGCTTGAGTGCATCCAAAGGTTCTTTTCCCCTGCATTGTGGTTGGAATACAAAATTTTCTGGAGACAGTGTTGGCACAAATGTGCTTTAAACAGTTCAAAAATGAAATAACACAGCAATTATACGTTACGTATGTGTTATGTCCAGGTTCCCCACATTATTATGTGTCTGAACACTACAATTCATGGTCTAAGCCAGTGTTGTTTCTTTAAACATTTTATCTCTTGTAAAAAAGAAGACAAACAAACAGAATAAAAAGGAGGAGGAGAGATTTCTTAGTGAAAGAAAAGGTGGTGCTCTCAGTATGTCCCTGGTGGCACGCCTTTTTCAAAACAAATAGGATGCTTGCAGAGATAAAGCCTAAACTATATATTTTTAATCTCCTCTGGAAGACGGGAATTAAAACAGAGGACTGTGGGGAAATGAGGCAAGAGAGAGGGTTTTGATAGTTTCTGCCTCTATAAACATTAATCAGCCCCTATCCACCTTTCATACCTCTGCAATGGCCCCAGAGTTCATCTCCCATGGCCTCTGATTGCCGTCTCCCCCTCCCTAATGATGCCTTTTCCCAGGTCACATGCAAATGGAGACTGGGGCCAACTGGGTCCAATGCGGAAAAAGAGTAATTGCCCCTTTAAAACCTTCCTCTACCCTTTCCATTGGGGCTAGTATTGAGACAGATGGAGCACATACCCTGCTCGATGTCCTCTACTGATTTTTATTTTCATTACTTAATTCATTTCAACCAGGAATACCCTCCGCCACACACCACATGAGCTAGGGCTCCCTTGTTGCGCTGTCTTTTCGCAGTGGGGAAAAGTAACTGCATGGTTTCATGCACATATCACCACACTTCTCTTATTTTCACCCTAGCCCATCCCCCATCATTAGAAATTCATTATGACATCATTAAACCAATGAAATACAGCTTATTACAGTAGACCCAAGAGAACGCTTTTATTTAAACACCTCCCTCCATCCGAACCCAGCCGCCTCGTTTCCTTTCTCCCTACCTATTTTAATTAGCCACCCAAGGAACATTGCTGTCATTTAAATGAACATGGCAATCAGTTTATTTGGCTGTTGCCATGATTAGCATAATTAGCCTGCACCTGTTAACCATCTATCAACAGTTTGGTTATTTTCCGTCTGTGACTGGAGAGCAGTGAAGGAAGGAAGCTTTCTGACGGATTTGCCGTCTTCATTAAAGGGAATAGCATCATTCATTTGAAATGCAGACAGTGTCGCTTGCATTAATTTCTATCTCATCTAAACAGCCTTGGAGTCATGACTGACTGACTTGCGAAGTGTCGGAGCCACCCAAGTGATGCTCATCAACTTGATAGTACAGGGGCAAGGTGAATGGATTTTGTTTGTGCGCTGCATTTGAATGGAAATTGGTCCCTCAATGTGAGCTTGTTGTTTACACAAAACAGCTATCATTTGGTAGGTGGTTCAGGTAACAGCAGGCAGATTTGCCAGCAACCTTGCAGTGATCATTTGTATAATGTCTTTATGAACTTTTCCACTTTACAGCTAATAACAGAGAAATTGAAGTGGCAGTTTTTTGCAAATAGCTACCGTAAGTGAGTGACTGCTTGTTCTTTGGATGAAATCAGATATTCTATCGTAAGAAATTTGCTCTGCATCACAGCCTATAATCACTTTACTTAATATTGAATACACACCTTGAAACAGATGGAGAGTTGTAATGTGAAGGAAACACACCAATCCCCTGATTTAATTTGTACCAACTCCTCACTTCTCAGCAGCTTTTCTTTCCTTCTCACTTTCCCCATCCATCTCTTTCCTTCCCTCGCTGTCCTACTCGCCCCAGTCATTCATCTCACACCCACTCTCAGCACGAGTATGTTGTGATAAGACTAAGCCAGCGGCAGGCGAGCCACCATTGTGTCAGGGCGGCGTGATTGCCATTGGTCGGCAGTGTTTGATTACCCTCTCTGCTGCTCTGAATCCCGTGCACACTGAACTCTGCTCCTTTCATTTCCTTCCTGTGCTCTGTGGCTAAAAATAGCTATAGTTGCTTAGCATCCACGCCCAGTGCTTGTAACATCTGGAACGTGCCTCAGCCACCGCTGGCCCGCCTGCCTGAATGCTATTTACTGAAGTAGGTTTTTAACCTCAGTCACAAGCCTTCAGCCTGGCTTTGTGCTCATTTGTTCCGACTATGTGAACATTTTCAAACAGGCAAAGCACATTAAACGTTTGAACTCCTTGTTGTCTTTCCTTGGGTTTTGAGGTATTT